CGATAAATAAACACGGTTGAATAAGTTCCAGAGGTTTTTAAGAGAGTATGTACACGATACAAGTTTAAAGATGTTAATTTGATCTGATTTAATTTTGACTGAATTAATTTAAAAAAGAAAAAGGAAAAATGATGATAATATAAGAAAGATATCTGAGAAACATAAATAATTCAGGTTAGAAATAAAGATAGTTAGAAATAACGACGAATGGTACGGGTAAAAAAAAACAGATTGCGTTAGTCCGTCGTGTCCAGAATAATTGATAGCCTTTTTCGTTTCGAAATATATAAGATTCACGCTTTTTACAAGTTTCGTTGCATCGATTGGTTTAATAGCCGATTTAATAGCAATTTCATCAACCGTGCCGACGATTATACGCGTTTCTCGCGTGAATTGCTTTCATACGGGCTGGAGTTTACGAACCAACGATAATAAATTCTCGATCGAGATTACAGATATATCAAGTATTTTTCTTTTTTCTCTTTCAATATTAAAAATTTGCCGCTTTGCATCGCGTGAAAAATAAAAAAATTTACAAACATTTTCCAAAAGTATCGTTCGCAATAATTAATAATTTTCAAAAAAAACAATTTTCAATTTCATTTTCTAGGAACAATTTTCCAAGGAATAAACCGCGCGTAAAAATATCTAAATACGCGGGAATCAATTCCAATTTCAAAGCAAATTAAGCCAAATTAATTATTCAACGTCTGTCGTTAAAGTTTAAAACATTAAAACGATCGAAATTGATTTAAAGAACGTTCGCTCAAATTATCCACGACTTTAAGTATCCATTGCGCAAGGAGTTTTACCATCTTCGACGCCGATTAATTTTTACCACGGATCTCGACGATATATTGTGACATCGGTACGGTGATTACTCGCCGCATTCCCGCCGCAATCACGATGACCGCGTTAAAAGCTGCCGGCGAAATTCTTTCCGATCGATCGATGGATTAAATCTGTCCATTTTTATCGTTCGTCACACGAACATTTATATCTTCGCGGGAGACAGGATCACGGAAACGTGCGATAAATTCTCCTCAAAGAAGACATTAATTCTATGTTCTCGGTTTCCTCGATAGTGAGAAGATCTTGTGAGAATGAAATAATTTTTCATGTATATTTCTGTTTCGAAATAATCTCTATCTGGATCGATGACAAAAAGCGATTGAAATGAAGGCATTTCAATCGCGCCAGTCCTCTCTCGAATCGCGAAACCCGAGAAACCTTCGTCTAATTATCCCTTAATTACTACTCCGATTCTCAATTACCAACACGATTAAACGTCGAATAATACCTCGATAGATGTAAATTCCCGTTTATAGCCGTATACGCTTATCTTTATTACAAAGTATAATACCATCGACTTCCGCCCTGTTAATGCGTAACGAGGAATTTGAAACTGAAAATGGCGCCAAGGCTCTCGCGCCTCGACACTTGTTCGATTCCTTTAATGACGTTCCATCGGATCGGATGCAATAACGAGCGGCAATTTATCGGCTAATAAATCGTCGTCCTTTTCTATCTTCCTTTACATCGAAATTCTCTATTTAATTCTCTCTTGCTCAACAATCGTACGTACCAAGAATGGTCAAAGAATTTTAATTATTTACCAAGTGGTCGTCAAATTTTAAATCGATAGATGGATTGGAAATCGTCATCCTCGTTTTCGCGTTGCCATCGAAATCCTCGATTTAATATTCTCCGTTTGCTTAACAATCGTACGTACCAGAATTTTAATCGTATATCTAATTTTAGATCGATAAGTTGGAAGTGAAAAAATCAATATCAGAGCGACGAAGATATGTTATAAATATTTCTTTCATCATCCTTCTCTCATCGAAATCCTCGATTTTATCGTGGAATTCTCTTAACAATCGTATCAATGGTTTAAGAATTTTAATTATTTATGAAGTGATCTTCGATTTAATCGTGGATTATTTATCAAGTTATCGAATTATTAGATCGTTGATGAAATGAAAGTCAAGAGTGACGAAGATATGTTATAAATATTTCTTTCATCATTTTTTTCTATCTTTCTCATAAAAATCCTCGGTTCATCCGTGGAATTCTTTCGTTTGTTTAACAATCGTACGTGCCACTGGTCCAAGAATTTTAATTATTTACGAAACTATCGAATTTTAGATCGATAAGTTGAAGAAATCAATATCAGATCATTATCGTACGTGCCTCTCTCATTTTCTGTATATTTTGAAAGAAATTGATCATCAAGAATCCTAATTATTTATAAATCGAGTTTTAAGCTAATGGAGCTTAATATCAGAGCTCAAAAATCGAAGATATTGCAAATATCTTCTTTTAGTCCCAAAAATCCTAGAAGAATAGAATAACATAGAATCCTAAATCCTTGGACTCATCGATACCGATTCGTCGAATCGATGGAGTAAATACTCGGTCGATAAATCAGACTTTACTCGAATCCCTCGAAAGTCTCGAAATAAGAAACCGATTAACGAACTTATCGACCGATACCACCATTGACCCAATAAGATTACACGCCAGATGATTCCAACGCACTATTGTGATAACCGGCAATTTTATCGAAGAAAAATCACAGCCTCCGTGTTGTCCATGTTCCCCGCATACCTTGGCCGCGCCTCGCCATCCCCTTCGCCGTAATCAAAATCACAATCCCGACTCTCGTTGAACGTATCGATCGATAAATCAATACGACTTTCGCCTCCACGCTACGCGCATCATCCCCTTATCTCTCCCCATCCATCCATCGTCAATGGGCTTCGTTAAAGGAGTGGACGCGCAAAGTGATTCCCGATTGAACCGTTCATCCAATAAAGGGGACGGACAGTTTGCTTATCGGTTTAAAGGATGATCGATATTTAAGCCGCGATTTAAGCGCGGCCTCTCCCCTCCCTCCTCTCGATCTTTCAGCTTTGTAACGAGAACGATTATTTATTTATCCAAGCAACAAGCGCATTGGCTGAATGCCGTTACGGGATTAGAGAGACAGGGAGATCGTTATTTATGCTTTAGCAAGCACGGTCACGCCATCTGGAGCCAACCACGTTCTGGCTGCTTGAATTAATCATACGTCACTCGTACTGGCTACGTACTCTCTTTTCTCCTTGATTTTTTTCTTTTGTGGATAAATTGATCGATCGGCAGAGTTAGAAACGGAATTATTATAGCTCTTAATCGGTCGAGCGATAAGGGTATACGACGATATATGTATACGACGGCTTAAGGATAATAATTAAGCGATATTTAAAATATACGATCCTGTAATTCACGTTTACAGTGAAGCGGGAACCGAAAGTGTTTGAAACTTATAACAGTCGAATGATAAATAAAACTTTCCAACCTTTCTCGCTTCCACGAGACGTTACTCAAATTGAATTGCCTCGCGGAGAAGATAGGTAGCTACATCACTTTACCGCTTGTTTGTTATAGCTAATAATTTATGTATAACTTATAGAACAGAACTATAGATGCGATACTTGCAATTAATCTACTCCTATCTCGAGTAGATAAGATCCGTTCAACGAAATTTTTTCGTTAATTTTCGTGGGGAGGAGTAGCGAAACGATTTAATTTCCCGTCTGTCACGCTTTTTGAAGAAACTCAAGAACAATTACGAGTATTATTTGAACCGTGGTTGGCCAAATTGAATTCAAACGTTAGACTACCCGCGACTTCATATATTCACGATTTACGATCGTGTCGTAAAAATTGCTCGTCGAGCAGAACGATCTCTCCCTCTTTCTCCTTCGATTGTTAGCTAAGGCTGTGAAAGTGAAGGCGAGCAGGCCTTTGTTCGAGCACAATACGATATTCGTATGGACGGGATCGCTAATTGCGAAACGCGATCGATCGCGCATCGGCAAACGCCTAGTCACGCGTGACTGGGATCCCAGTTGCTGATGGATGCTGATCACGATTTCAACCGTAGATTTATATATTCCGTTATATCCCAGAACAAACGAATGGAAGGAGCGATATCATTCCCTCCACCCCTCCACGTGATCTCATAGCTTGAGAATGAAAATAATGTGGGACATTATCGACGCACCGTGTTCCAATCAAAGAAATATCGTTTCGTTGCTTCGATACCAGCCTGTTTTCGAGCCTGTCCCCGTTGACTGCCGCGTCATCCATATTCGGGTGACGCTTATTTGAGTACTATGAAGGATCTTTGTATTTGGAAAGATATTCTGCAGAGTGTAATAAAGTGTATTAAATTGTTAAAATATAATATAAAAATAAATAAATATAATATAAAATATAATATAATATAATAAATATAATATAATAAATATAATATAAAATAAATATAATATAAAAATAATAGAAAAATTATTTTGAATGGAAAATTTTTATACAATGCTGAGGTTGATCCGGACAATTTGGACAAAAAGTTGTCTTTTTTAAATTCCTTCGATCCGTTTTTTATCCGAATAACATAATTTGCATGCAGTCTAATATCTATACCAAAATTATTTTTAAATTATTTTTATTTATATATTATTTTGGAACGGCGATATTATGTTGAAGATTTTGACAAGATTTTCAGATAATCCTAACAATTTTGCAGCTAATAATTTTCTAAATTTTCTAATTTTGGGGTACCACGAGTTTCATGGTGATACGACAATTAGATAATTTATGAACATATCGTGCTCTAACCATCAAACACGATTATCTTTGATATTGTGAGAATTTATACATAATCCACAACTAGGAAGTATATTTGTTACGACTAGTCGAAGGGCATTCATATAATCCAAATTATCCAAATATACTAAATCAATACTACTATTGTCAATACAATTACTATCATCAATACTTCTATCGCAATAATAATGAAACAGTAATAATGGAAACAAACGATGCGAGACATCATTCTTGCAAACACCTCGTTCCTCGTTAAAAAGGATTCTCGAGCGTAAATCTAAATCTAACGGCGTTCCATCGAGAGGAAAAGGCAAAACGCTTACGTAACACGAATTAATTATTTTCAGGGTGTCGATGCAATCCTGTTGGCTCGATAAGCTCTACCTGCGACATCGTGACGGGCCAATGCCAGTGCAAGCCTCACGTGGCTGGCAGACAATGCGACCAGTGTACGGTGAGTACGACGAGTTTCATCTCTCGTTTCATCATCCCTTAAAAATCCCCTTCTCGATCTCTCACTTTCAATCTTCCCCCTCCCCCGTTTGAAAAGGTCGGTTTCTGGGGCCTGCCGACGGGAGCTGGATGCGCCCCCTGCGGATGCGACCCCATCGGGGCGTACAACTCTTCCTGCCACGAAGCCGTGGGCCAGTGTTACTGCAAGCAAGGCGTGGGCGGGACGCGTTGCGACACGTGTCTACCCGGATATTACGGATTTTCCTCGAACGGGTGCCAAGGTATCGGTCGTGATAAATAAGGAAAAGAGGAAGAAATCGATATCCTCCGCGTTGTTTTCCAGCATGCGACCCGTGCGTACGGCCTGGTCACATCTGCGACCCAGACACAGGTCGCTGCGTGTGCCCGACCCTGACCTTCGGCGAGCACTGCGACCGATGCAGACCCGGCTCCTGGGATTTGGTGGCGGGGGTTGGGTGCAGGCCGTGCGCGTGCACCCTCGGCTCCACGAAACCCCACTGCGACCACCGGGGACAATGCCCCTGCAGAATAGGGTACGCAGGGCTCAGGTGCGAGAGATGCGCGAAAGGGTACTACGGTTACCCCAGGTGTCGACCTTGCGGGTGCAACGTGGCGGGTACAACGAGGTGCGATCACGAGGCTTGCGATTGCAACGACGAGGGACAGTGTCCTTGTAAGGTATATATACAAATCGATTTAAGGAAGGAAGTAAGAATGGAGATGAGATACGTTTCGAGGGGGGTAATAAATTCGGAGGAGTTAGTTTCGTTGTTATTTTCCTCTTCTTCTTGTTTTTCGTTCGTTAGGAATACGCTGTTGGAAGGCAGTGCGATCGATGCAAGGAAGGTACGTTCGGTTTGGCGTACGACAATCCGAAAGGTTGCACCGAGTGCTTCTGTTTTGGGAGAACGACTTCTTGCCAGCAAGCTGGCCTTAGTTGGGGGCAGCGGAGGTTGACACGCCCGCGAACCCTTTACGTCAACGACACCATCAACGAAATAGCGGTAAGGAAGGAAATTAATTCGTTGAAGAATGAAAAATCTTAATCTTAACGGGCGGGGGTGGTTACAGGTGAGCAAATTTAGGTCGCAAATTTTTTTATCTCCCGTCAACGGCGGTTTGAACATGACCAACGGGCTCTCCACGATTCCTGACACCGAAGGTGATGTCACGATACCGGCACACTTGTATTACAATTATCCCCTCTATTGGATGCTGCCCGAGTCTTTTCTTGGCGATAAGGTTTCGAGTTTTCTTCTTTTTCTCTCTCTCTCTCTCTCTTTTCTCTTTTCTTTTCTTTTCTTTTCTTTTTTACGCGTGTAAAAAAGAGAAATGAAATTTCACTCGTTGTTACGAAGGTCGTGTCTTACGGAGGATTTTTAAGATTTGCAAGTTCGACCGAGGGTGGGATACCTTTGAGATCGACCTTTCAATATCCGATAGTGCAACTGCAAGGGAACGATAAAATTGTCCTGGAATATTACTTGCCTGTGCCTGCCGACGATAATCGTTACGAAGTCAGGTAATCATTAGATTAAAATTTTAAAAAAATCTTGAAATATTAATTATTGATCAATTATTTATCTATTAATTAGAAATTTTATTATTTCAATGTATGCAAATAAATTTTATTCATTAAAAAAAAATATTAGGATGTTCAACAATTTTTAATTCAATATATTTTATTTTATTATTAAGAATTAATAAATTATTATTTTTAATTTTTATTATTTTTTATACAATTAATTATTATTTATTAATTAATTTTTTTAAAAAACTTTTTATTAATAATAATAATTTTTTATTTATAAATAAATTTCAATATTACTCATTTTTAATTTTAACATTTAATTATTCAATATATCCAATTTTTTTAACATTTATTATTAAATGAATATTTATTTTTTCAATAATTAATAATAATTCATTCAATTGAATTTTATTAATTATTTTAATTTCAAGAATATTAATAATTTGAAATTATTTTATTATATTAAAAAATAGATTTATAAAAATTAATTTTTATAAAAATAACATTGTAAATCTTAAAAATAACTATTTTCATTATAGATTAATCTCATTAACTTTATTACTAATAAATATATTTATTTTTTTAATTATAAATTTTTTAATATAATTATTATAATTTTTTTAAATTAATCTTTAAATTTGCAATTTAATATTTTTTTTAAACTATAATAATAATTAATTATTTTATTATTTTAATAATAAATTAGTATTAGAAAAATTTTAATTTTCAATTTTTAAATTTACAATTTAATTCTTTATTAAGATTTAATACTATAAACTTATATTTTTATTTTAATATTTTAATATATAAATATAAGATTTTAAGTTAAAATAATTAAATCTTGAAGAATCAATCCAGATATAATAAAAATATACCAATATATAAGCTGTCTCTCTCTCATTTTCTTCTTTTTTTTTTAGATTTCACGAGTCGTTGTGGCAGTTGCAGAATAGGCCTGATTACAAAGTGACGAGGGAGGTATTGATGGTTGCGTTGCAAAATTTACAATACATCCTGATAAAAGCTTCCGACAATGCCGAATTTACGAAAGCAACGTACGTTTTCCATTTAAATAAATATCGTCTCGTTTCCGCGTAACCTTGTTGTTGCCTGCGTTGCGTTTCAGTTTACTCGAAGCCTCTATGGACGCTGCAGTTTTAACACCTACACACATCCCACAACTTGCAACCGGTGTCGAGATTTGCAAATGTCCCCCAGAGTATAACAGCACGTCCTGCCAGGATCCTAGTATCGGTTACTATCGATGGTATAAAAATACGACAGTTACATCGACGATCGTCATCGATCTCGTCGGAGAAGCGAAAGCCTGCCAGTGTAACGGAAGATCTAATATTTGCAACATAGAGACGGGATATTGCTTGGTAAAGCCTATTCGAATCTATTTTTATCAAACTTATAACTAGCTAACGCTTAGAATTAATTATAATAAAACGCGGTATTAGCATGCAAATCGTTATAAATTGTTATCCAAGATAGAACAACCGCGTATTACGCGTATCGTAATTTAACCGAATAAGAGTAAACCGTGTATGGTCAGACGTTAATTTATTTTTCCAAATTTAAATCGTAAAAGAAAATATATCGATTTATTATAATTTAAGCGTATCAAATCTCTGGAATAAAAAAAAGAAATACACGTTTCTAGAATTGTTGAGGAAATAATTAACACATAGATTTAATTATTTGATATTAACATACAAATCGTTATAAATTGTTATTCAAGATAGAACAACCGTGTATCGTAATTTAATCGAATAAGGGAAGTAAACCGTGTATAGTCAGGCGTTATTTTATTTTTCCAAATCGAAAAAAAAGAGCATATATCGATTTATTATAATTTAAATGTAACGTATCAAAATTGTCGAGAAAATAACTAACACATAGAATTAATTACTTGATATTAGCATACAAGTCGTTATAAATTGTTATCCAAGATAGAACAACCGTGTATCGTAATTTAACCGAATAAGAGAAGTAAACCGTGCATGGTCAGTTAATTTATTTTTCGAAACGATTAGGATCGAAAAAGAAAGTGCATATATCGATTTATTATTTATATATATATAATATAATGTAACATCAAATCTTTGAAATAAGAAAACAAAAATACATGTTTCTAGAATTATCGAGGAAACTAATTAACACATAGAATTAATTATAATTCACGTGATATTAGCATATAAAAAATCGTTATTCAAGATAGAACAATTATATATTACGATTAGGATCGAAAAAGAAAGTGCATATATCGATTTATTATTTATATATATAATATAATGTAACATCAAATCTTTGAAATAAAAAAAAAAAAAGACACGTTTCTAGAATTGTCGAGGAAATAACTAACACGTAGAATTAATTAATTAATTAATTCACGCGATATTAGCATATAAATCTGTTATCCAAGACAACAGAACAATTATATATTATCGTAATTTAAGGGAAGTAAACCGTGCTTGTCGTTAATTTTTCCAAACGATTAGGATCGAAAAAGAAAGTGCATATATCGATTTATTATTTATATATATATAATTTAAATGTAACATATCAAACCTTTGGAATAAGAAAACAAAAACACACGTTTCTAAAATTGTCGAGGAAATAACTAACACGTAGAATTAATTACAATTCACGCGATATTAGCATATAAAAAATCGTTATTCAAGATAGAACAATTATATATTATCGTAATTTAAGGAAAGTAAACCGTGCTTGTCGTTAATTTATTTTTCCAAACGATTAGGATCGAAAAAGAAAGTGCATATATTATAATTTAAGTTTAGTCTATCAAACCTTTGAAATAAGAAATCAAAAACACACGTTTCTAGAATTGTCGAGGAAATACCGCGGGACCAAGATGCGACATTTGCGCGGACAGTTTCTACGGGCATGCCGACTTTGGCTGCAAACCGTGTCCCTGCCCGCAAGCGGACAAAAGATTTTCAAGCACTTGCACGATTCTCGCCAACACGGAACCGATCTGCGTTTGCAAACCTGGTTCGTAATCTTTTATCATCCTCTGACCACAGAAAACCGTATCCATTTAGATGAATTTTCTCGCACTTTTCCTATATATTACTTTATTTATTATATATTACTATTTTATTTATTACTCGCTTCTGCGCAAGGTTACACCGGGAGGAAATGCGAGCGATGCTCACCCGGATATTACGGATTCCCTCATCTCCCCGCTGGAAAATGTACACCGTGCGAATGCAACCCTGCCGGAAGTTTGAACGATGAATGCGACACGGAAACGGGGCAATGCAGGTGCAGAGCTGGGTCCACGGGTCGTGATTGCTCCCAATGCACAGCGTATCGCCACGTTTTCATAAACAACGTTTGCACGTGTAAGGGAAATCGATTATTACCATCGAATTATCCTCGAATTTATTTTCCAAAATCGAGCCTTTTCTTCTTTAACCGATTTCATTATTTCTTTTCTTTTCTTTGTTTCTTCTTTTTGCAACCAGCGTGCAACGATAATTGCACTGGTGTGCTGCTCGACAATTTGGCTGCACTTTCCCAAGAATTAGCGGAAGGTACCGTGCACATAGCGGACGGATACGTTCCTCCTCCGTGGCAGGAATTATCGTACATCGATTCGAACACGACCGGATATTTGGAAGAAATGAATCGGCAGAATAGATTGAGGCAAAGGATGAGAAATATTCCGTGGAGCAAGTACAGAGAATTATTGAAACAAGTCGAGGTGTTGCTCAGAGCTGTGCGTGTTATAACGTTAAAAGAATTTTTATTACTAGGGAATATTAAAAATATATATACATGTATCGATATTTTATTTTTTTCAGGCCAATGAACAAGTCAAACGCTCGGATACTCTAAATTCGAAAAGCAACGATTTAAAGAATAACATATTTAGCGCAAAGATCGAAATGGACAATCTGAAGAAATACATAGAAGGTAGATCGTCTTGAAAAGAAAAAAAAAAAAAAAAAAAGGACGCGTTCCAATTTTATATTTTATCTGTAATTTTCATTCATTCTAGATACGATTCTACTGTTGAATCAATACAGCAGCGAAAACAAAAGGATAGAATTAAAGAAAGCGTTAAAAACGGCGAAGATGATTTTAAACGGTATGAAGGAAGCGAACTTAACGAGGAAGAGAATGGAAATAGAAAGTTTTCTCGAGTTAGTAGAGATTCCTGTCAACTATATCGAATAATTATTAAATCGATTGTTATCTATCATTATTTACGTTATAACTATTTTCTATATCTATATTTGGAAATTAACAGCGATGCCCGGGAGACCATCGATTGGTTAAATTCCTTGTACGATGCAACGGAACCGCTTGCAATCGCTCAAGACGACGCGGAAGAATACTCGATAAAGTTGAACGACGTGAGAAGCATAATAGAGGAGACGATGGAAACGTTGTTCACGTACGACGGATTATACAACGATATTAATCAAACGTTTTCAGAGGCTAAGAATCATTGCAACGAGATCAACGCGTTGCGCAATAATATCAACGCGTCCATTATCGAAGGGGAAAAGTTGACGAACGAGACGCGTGGTTTCATCCTCGATTTCCAAAATAACGTTCAAGTACGTATCGATTGAACGAACAACCGATATCAATTATTTTGCACAGGCTAAGACTGTTAAAATATATGTTTTTCCAACATTTCCATCATTTACCCGCTCGTTATATCAAATTTTTATTTCAATTTCGCACACCTTATAGATATAGTAAAAAAGAAAAAAAAAAAAACGCGTTATCTCGATTATTAATATTAATTACAAGTAAAAATAATTATATCGCCTAGCTGTCGAGGAATACCTGAAAGGAGAATGTATTAAATTACAGGATCTTCCAGAACTACGAAACAAATTAGCATACTGGTTTGATAAATTGGGTATGAAGGAGGAACTGCTGTACAGATTAAATTACGAATATAACGACACATACGTGATACCCGCGATTGCACACGTGAAGAATTTATCGAGCTACGTTGATCAGTACGTCAGGTAAGGGGAAATTATTTATTATTTTCATTCCTTCGTACTTTTAACTTTTAACTACCCCACTTTATCGCAATATTAATTAATATTTAGATAGTCAAGCGAGTGCTATCATTGTCATCAAGAAAAAAAAAATATTCGATATTAAGTAATTTCCTTTTTTTCCAATCGCGAAAAAAAGTATCTTTCGCGTTCTTTCGCTTGTCGAGATTTGCTTGACTATTTAAAAAAAGTGATGTTTAAAAAGAGAAAAAGAAAAATGTATATATATATATTTCGCAAAATGGTCCTGTAATTTCGAACGCAGTTCCAGTTGCGAATTAATAATCGTTATATTAGCTGTTAATTTACGTAATTGACGATCGATAACTTGATAAAGTGCAACTTGGCGTTTCTGCCGAGCAGTCTGTTTTCCGAGACAAGAAACATCGCAGCTAGCCCGCTCAAGGCCAGCCAAGCGTACAAGAATATCGTCGATAACATAAGAACCGCGAATATCACAGCGATGGAAGCTAAAGAGATTACGAACGACACGTACAACAAGGTAAAGGAATAAAATCGACGATTCTTCGAATAACTGTATTCGTGTTATGTTATGTGGTCGCGATCTCTCATCCTTTGTACAATTTCAGACGTTTCCCAATGGGCCGAATTCGAAGTCGCTGTTGGACATTGCCAAAGAGGTGTCGAGGGCATCGTCCAAACAGTTGGAACGAGCGAAACAGCACGAGGAATTGGTAAAAAAGGCGAGTGTTGATTTGGAATTGCAAAAGGAAGCTGTGACCCTTTTGAAAAATACTTTGAACAACACTGGAATCAGAGACAATCAGGTTAATCTAAAATTGCAAAAGTTGAAAGATGATAGTAAGAAACGTGAGTGTCCGTTTGTCCGAGAAAAATCTCTTTCTACATTTTCTAACAATTCCGTTCTTAAATTTCCAAGTTTTTAATTAATTAAACTTTTCCCTCTTTTATTTAGTACGAGAAGATATAGAAAACATATCGAAAGACAACGAAATGGTACTAGAAAACGTGAAAATATCGCGAAAACTTATCGAGGATTACGAGGAAGGAATTGCAGATAGATTGAAACCGAAACTGAACGAATTGAAGAGGGAAGGTGATTCCAAGATTAGTCTAGCTAGCGAAAAATGTAAGAATCGTCATTATGCCACGTTTACATTTCTTTATTAAAAATTTTATTTAAAAAAGAAAAATTATTTTAGTGACGGAAGCGCTTAGTAACACGAAAAAAGCAGACGCGAGATTAATAAGCTTCTCGAATGCTGCCGCGAAAAGGAAGAGTGTATTTGACAAGTGGAACGATACGCTGGCCACGAAATTGCAGAATCTCAAAGATAAAATTGCCGAAGCTAGAAATACCGCTGACGGAGTAATTACGTTAACATTATCTTATTTCTTAAATGTCTTAATGTCAAATAATATATATATATATATAGAATAAGAATATATAGAATAAATATTCGAATAAAATATCCCCCCTTAGATTCGCGTTTCCTTGAAATCGGCCGAAGGAAAAGAATGTAGTCGTTCCTACAGGCCATCTACATTGCAGCCAACATCCACGAATACAATCGTGATGACGTTCGCGCTTCCGAAAGGGAAGAAAGAAGGTTCTCTGTTTTACTTGCCGAGCAGCATAAATGTAAGCATTTCGAGATTGAATTGATATTTCAAAGCAAACAGAATAATTTGATACATTGACTTACTGTAGGATGACTTCATTGCTCTGGAGCTGGTTGACAGAAAGGTGAGATTCGTATGGAACGTTGGAGGAGGTACGGGGATTCTTACGCATCCTGAGACTATACACAGCAGCGATATTCAGGACGACAAGTTCTGGTACCGCATCGAGGCTGAAAGGTAATGCAACGTAATAAATTGTGTAATAACAAAAATTCTTTTTGATCGAAATAATTTTTTTCAGGGTGCGACACGTAGGTAAATTATACGTACGAAAGCAAGCATCGACATCTAGAGGGTATCCTGTGGTAAAGAATTCGACTAACTCTGAGTACGGTCGTTTCGACATCACCACGTCAGATCGTGTCTGGATAGGGAAAATTCCCAGACCGGAGCGAAGAAGGACCGAGCTCATCGCGTCTAGCGGCCTTCCGGGATGTATACATCAAGTGATTTTAGACGGGAAACCTATAGGCCTTTGGAACTTTGTCACAACCGCGCCAGATATGGCTTGCGAGGCGTGTGTGGAAGGGTAATTGGGAAGACATTCCAAATTCTCTCATCGTCAATTCCAAATTCTCTCGTCATCAATGATTGAAAATGATTTTATCCCCTGTTTTCTACTGTTGTAGAGTGGAAGATGTCAGCGACGATACAGTTTACAGTTTTAACGGAGAGGGATATGCGGTCAGAAACAGAGTTTCTTCTGGACCGTACAATCCATACCGGTTTGTAATATCGATTAACTTCAGGACTTACGACGAGAATGCCTTGCTATTTCTGGCTATCAATCCGGACAACGTATGTAACATTGAAATAATTTCTTAAAAGTGATCTCTATCTTATAATGGTGGACGTGATTAAACATGATCCTAATTTTTATTCGATATTATAGAATCAACATGTCATAATATTCCTGCGAGAAGGGAAAGTGATTCTGCAGATTGGTTACGGTAGTAACGTCAGCATGGAAATGTCGTCAAACTTTAAATATAATACCGGGAACTGGACAAAGGTGGATGCATTCAGATATTATCAATTGCATAAAAACATTGAAAAGTGTAGCTTAAGCGTAGGGGAAAACGATAAGAGAATCGGGGCACCCGCAACTCAGCCCAAAAAGGAAGATATCCCTAATTTTCTTCAAGCTAAATATTACATCGGTGGTGTTCCACCGAGTTTTCGCGCGGATAAATTAATGCTACCCTCCCAAGTTTCTTTCCTTGGCTGTATGTCTAATATCATAATCGAGGTGGGCTACGATCCAATGGCGGAACAGTATTATGGCGTTGAGCCTATTTGCACGAATAAGGTAGGCATAAGTTTTATTTTGAAAAAAAAAAAAAAAAAAATAGAAGAAGAAACAGATGTTAATAAATTTTCATTTTTGCAGCCATTAAGGTTAATAGGATTTTACGGAGACGGTTATTTGCAACATGCAGCATACACGCTACGTAAAATAAACTCCACGGTGAGTTTCTCGTTTAGAACGATGCAAGAGAAGGCCGTGCTCCTTCTTTCCACGTTTGAAGGGCAAGAAGAACGTATGCCTCTTATACGACACATGAACGACGAATCAAACGTAAGATAAAACAAATATGGTGTCTGAAAATTTGTCGAACGAGTGATCCAATTTATCTCGTTTCAATTTCAGAGAAAGAGTTATTATTCCGTGTGCATAATGAATGGACAAGTTGAAGTGCGTTTGAACGCTGGAAAAGGAGAGCTCGTTTTACAATCGAACGACACTTTTAACGATGGAAGATATCACTCGGTAACAATAATTAAAAGGCGAAAAGATGTCGAGTTGCGAATAGACGATGCTTATCAGACGGCGGGTAAACTACCAACTAGTGCCGCTATTAAAGCTCCCGAAGAGAGTGGAGGATTATTCTTCGGAGGTTTACCCGTTCTTATCAACAATACCGAAATGATTTCCACCACCACTCCATTGTATGGTGCTATTAAAGACGCGATATTTAACGACGAGTAAGTTAAATATATAAAGTTTAAAGTTTTATGGTGATTTATGATCTTAAAAGAAAGGAAGAAGGAATACGAATAATTCTTTTTCTTTCTAGTATTATTCGATTCGATGAAGTTATCAGTTTCGAGCATGCATTGATCGGTCGTTCTGGACCAAGTATGGGAAAAGATCCTCCTACTTATACACCTTCGGCTTCGTTATCAAGAGGAATGTCGACGCAACCGGAAGGATGTCAGAAAGTACCGTATTATTCTCTGGAAGCTGGTGCTCTAAAGTTTGGCGACAAACCAAACAGCCACACCCAACTTTATTTAAACTTTAAGAAATTTTGGGAGAAGAAATACGCCATAGAATTTGATTTCAGAACGTATTATCCAAATGGTCTTTTGTTCATTACACCAGTACGTAAAACTTCTTTAAAATATTAATTTAAATTTCAAACGAGATCAACAAGATCAAAAAACGAGATTCCATATTTCAATGACATGTAATATTTCAGATTAAAATATTAATTAATTATTTCATTTTGTAGGGTCTTAGACCAAAGCATTATCTCATGGTCGTGATACGGGATGGACAACTTTTACTTTTAGTGAAAAGCAAACAGAAGAAAGAGATATTGTTTAAAATGCCGTTTAATGACGGTAACTGGCATCACGTAGTGATCAGTCACGATGAAAGGAAATTGACGTTGCTCGTGGATTCTCTAACACCGCACACTATTAAAGTACCAAGAAAGATTGGACTGGCTTCTATGATGTACATCGGAGGTCTACCTGAAAGTGGCACACCGATTCCTGAACAAGTTGTGGTTAAACTTGAAACTCTAAAAGGTTGCATCAGAGGATTGAGGATCAATGGAAACGTGTTTGATATGGTTGGTTCCACGAGTAGAGCTTATCAAGTTGGACAATGCTTCCCAAATGTGGAAAGTGGAGCTTATTTTCAAGATGAAGCATATGCCATATACAGTAAGATATAATTTGAAGAATAATTATAAATGTTAATCAAGTGATAATAAGTATTAATCAAGTGATATCAAGAAATAATTATAACAGAAAGAATGAGATCGAGAAACTTAATAAATTGAATTCCTTTTTTTTTTATAGAGAGAAACTTTGAATTAGGTGCAGTGCTTGAACTTCAATTAGAATTTAGAACATCGGAATTGTCAGGTGTTTTGCTTTCCATAACGGCACCCGGCAATTCGCCTTCATTGTCATTGGAGCTGAATAATGGCAAAGTGATCATGTCGGGTGATTTAGGAGATAACAATCCATTATATGCTGAGCAACGTTTTACTAGTCCATACACGATCTGTGACAATCGATGGCACAGAATACAAGCGGTTTATAATGATGAAGAATTGGCATTGAAGGTTGATGAGATGGATCAGAAGTATGGCCTTCCACCTAACGTCAATTATCATATGATGGATTCTACAATCTCTGGACCTCTCTACATTGGTGGTTTGCCAGGTATAATTTTATCAATCTTATCAATTACTATCAAAAATTATTCTATAATAATAAGTAAATTATATATCTAGCATTAATTGAATTCATATATATATATGTATTATAAAGATTTTATATTTATAAAATATGAAAAAACAAAAAATAGTTGAATTTACTATCTTTATAAATTGAATGATAATTTTACAGCCTCTGCACCAAAAGGAACATTAATGACAAGAGATCATTTCAATGGATGTATAAGAAATGTGATGATAGGGGGAGAGAGACGGGATTGGACAGACATGGATGAATTGCATAACATTCACTTGAGCTCCTGCCCAGTACAATGATAATCAGTACAATGTGTGAACTCCTCTGAGTCATTCAATTTAGTTCCAAAGACTGTTCAAAGGATGCACAATGAAATGAAAGGTTTCTATGAACGGTGTTCAAATACGATTTCACACCAGGATCAAGTGCCATATCATGATGGGAAATTCTCTAATTGTTAAGACATAAGATTAAACGAAGCCAAAAGATGCTAACATGCAAATGCATGAAGTTTGTATCAATGTTTCTCAAACTTGTTTTTACTGTTATAAAGTTCTATGATAACAAATTCTTACAAAATGTTAATGAAAATCCTTTGTATTTTTATACGTATCTGATAACAAATTATATTTATATTAAAAATAAGTTGAGAAAAGATAAAGATACAATGAACATCATGTAAAAAAAAAATAAGTTAATATTTGCTACTTGTACATAGAGAATCTTACATTAATCTATTTTAATTAAATCTTTTTGAAATAAATTTTTACTAAAAAAGAAAAGAACGAAGAACTTTTTTATGTATTAAGTATGTATTAAGAAAATTCATTTAACATTACAACATTTAAAAAGTTAATATTAAAATATTAATTAATTGCTTAAACATCCATCTTAAAATTAATTAACAAAAAGTTATATAATTTACTATTCTACTAAAACAAATCGATCAAAAATAATAGATTTTTTATCTATTCATTAATATATAAAATTTAAAAAAATTTATTAATTACCTCAAAAAAATGATGTGAAGTAAAAATAATGCACTCGTATTATCATTCCAATAGATATTTTAATAATAATATTCACAAACAATTTATTAAAACACAACGAATAAAAAATATCTTCCCGCGCACTTACACGATTCTTTGAACACTGACAACTTCATGAACAAGTACAACGTTCATCAAAATTCGATTTTAAGATAAAAAGATATATAGAAAATTAACTTTATAAGAGAATCATAATTTACAAAATAAATTAAAATAATTTAAAATTAATTTAAATACATTATAAAAATAAAATTTTTTATATAAATCTACAATATTATTACAATATCAAGATATCAACGTATTACGTAGTAAATTTAAATTGTTACCTACTATTGGAATGTTTTTTACAACTACTTTAGTATTTTATAATAATATTATAAAACACAGTTTGAGAAACGTTTTTTAAAGCATTAACAAATTATGGCACAAATTTAAATCGAATTGTATTATAGATTCAATATATAAAACAAACGCCACGATATACGTGTAAGTAGCAAAATCACTGCCATATAATTTAATTGTAATTCATTTATGTAAGTCATGAAAGAATTGTACATCAGTATTTAAAGCTATTTATTATCATTAATGTAAGTGTAATCAGCGATTTCGATTAAGAGCATAATAAAAAATATAAAATTGTACTCAATCGAAATCGTATATTTTTTAGAAAAAAAAATAAACGAAATAAAATTATTTTGTATTATTTTAGTGATAGTAAATAACATATTTTAATATTTAAAATAATTAATAGCGAAAAAAAGTCATATATTGCGCCCTGTAATAAAGTGCCCTTAACGAATTAATGTAATGAATGTAGAATTAATGTAGTATATATGTAGGGAGAAATGTTCTTTACAAGAATATTTTAATATTTATGTCTAGTATTTTTCTTATTCGTTGAATTGTAATATATTATACATATGCAGAAAAATTAACAATGACGCCTTCGCTATTGTGTATAAAATATATAACAATGAGAAAGTATGGTCATCTAATTCATCCTCTTCTGTACTCCAAAATTTATATATACATTTACATTATACAACCAATTAAGCAAAGAAGACACTTATATATATATATATATATATATATATATATATATATATTATATAATATATTTTATATATATATATAAAATTCCATATATATTATAATATATATTATTCATTAAAGAATAAAAGTCTATTGCAAAGTGGGTTATTAAATTTTATTGATGACATTCGCTGCAAGATATTAACAGTAAAATATGACCCAAATTTTTACTTGACGTACTTAATAAATATATATCATTGAGTAATAATTTCATTTATGCATATATAAAAACATAATATTTACAGACATGGATAAATCGAACAAGTATGATTTGACAAAGTTTTCAGTTTTCATTTCTTTCATTTGTGACAATAAAAATGAAGGATTATTACATAAAGGTAATCATTTATTATTAGTAAGCGCGATTTTATATTATATTCCATTTTTCCTATCTCTGTTTTTCGTTTCATTGTTTATCACGCCAGTTACCAACAGCTCACTAATAACATTTCTCTGCTTTGAAAAATATAAATATCAAGCATAAGCAATCTCTTTACTACCGTTATACATCCTTTTTTCGAACGTTTTCTTACTGTTTTACTGTATTTTATTTTGCTTTTGTAGCTTTTTCCCCATTATATTTTCAATCCCTTTTCCACAAGCCATTATCCTTCCATCGATTCTTAAGATTAGTGACTATTATATTATTAATCATAAATCTTCATTCATTGTTCGTTCACTTTTACTCATTCATTGTCATCGTAGACTTTTTATCATGACTTCAAATCTTATAATTCATTTTATGGCATTTACTAATTTTCGCGTTCAATATTGTCAAGTCGGACTATTTTTGGAGTCTGAAGCTCGCAAAAATTTCTCTATTTATCATTTTTTTACGATGATACACGCAATAGATTTACAATAGACGAGAATAGAATATAATGAACTCCCTTGGATACTACGATCGACGGATTTTTTCTTTTTTAAAGTTCTTTTTTTGCATGTCCCTTATATGAGACATAAGTTGTCTCGCATAGGTTGAATAAAACAATTTAGGGACGATTGAACCAAGTATCGTTGCGAATTAAAAATATATTTTTCGCGATCATTAATCGTGAAGAACATGAAATTCGATATGTTGCATAATTACTTAAGAATAATCAATACGATCATGTTGTGTTATGCCAATACAGATATAAGGAGGGTCGTATTATTCCTGTAAACAAATTTTTGTATTTTTTTTCTGTTTTTTCTTTCTTACAATTTCTTTTCATTTCCATACATATGGCCATTAAGCTAAAAAATATATTATAGAAATATCGAACAAACAATAAATCGATAAATGCTATAATATGCATTAAATATTTAACATAATTTAAACAAAGTACACAAGAACAAATTCTATAATTTATAAACCCTCCGTATTTCTGTATAAAAATTGTATTTTATCTCTATCTAATTTCTATTCATTCGTCCTATCGGCGTATTACGAAAATTGAATTGTATATATTTAATATTAAAAAAATTGAATCGTCAAGATGAAAGGTCAGTGCCAATCCCACACGAACAGCGGATAGTTTATAATTTATGGCACAATAAATAGTTCTTCCGTTATTACATTATTATGCTAATTATCCATCATGTACAATGTGAAAACCGCATATTTAGTTTCGCTTAAAATTGGACTGACACGTTCCATTAGGAAATGAGAATAATATATTAGAAAATAAATGAAAAACAAAAAAAAAAAAAATGATTATTATCCAAAAAAAAAGAATCTATATACTATTGATAAAACTCGTAAGGAGAATCATCAAATTTATGAACGGGTTAAACAATTAGTCCATTTCATTAAAATTTATAATAATACGCTAAGACGTTTATAAATAAATAATTAACACTCTTTCCAGAATCTCTTGTCTCGATCGTGAGGAACGCAGACAGTGGATGATCAAATTTCAATTATAAATATTTAGGCCTAGAATGTTCAAATAAATTATTTAATCAAAGCAAAAACTTTGAATATAGATGAAAATTTTTGTTCTTTTCATATTTCTACATTCCATCTTCTGCTTTCCTCTTACAACCTTCAAAATAATTACAAGATCTCAAACTATTTGATACATTATAAGAATAAGTATGTGATTGCGCGCAGGAAAGAAAAAGAGCAATTCAACCAAAAATTTTACGCAGTTCGTAGCTCTTTATATATTCAAATATTTTCTACTAGTTACCAAAATTATTACTGTTCTTTCAAGAAATGAACTTTTACTTTTGGTACATTTCTCTACAATTTCATTCTCTTCTCTCTCAAATCCTTACAAGTTTATTTATAATCTTATACCAATACACACTTCACAAAAACTTGCTTCAAGATATTCAAATCAACGAGGCATTATATAAATTATAATGATAGCTACACTGTAAAGAAAAAACATCCTCGCACAACATCAATTACATCCAGATCGATCTTAAGGCTGATTTGGTATTTTTTTTTTTTTTTTCACTAATCAGAATCAATTTATATATTTACAAATCCACATTATTTATTTTTTTTCTCATTTATTCGTAAGTTGGTTTTTTCCAACATTTTTCAACGAATGAATTACATTATCTACGTATGCTGCTGCAACTGTCAACAGTTGCAAAAATCTGATGGTTAATGAGGAATCATTAATTTGGATTCGACAATGATATACACAATGAAAAGAAAGTTTTAAGACAGTTACAGTGGATCATACGAAACAATGTTAAACTTCGATTTAATTGATAAAAGTGGAAGAACTTACAATTCTATGAATGAAATAGATTTTCATGCAAGACAAGCCTTTCACTTTATTTACTTTCTTCCTTACATCTTTAAATAAATTCTGTTAAATAGAAATTAATCATATACAAAAATCACATTGAAAAATTCGAATCCTTTTATAGACTCTGTCAAAAGTACATTTAAATTAATGATCCTCTATTTGTATTCAGTAAAAGACATATAATAATAATAATAATAATAATAATAATAATAATAATAATAATAATAATAATAATTAAGAGCAGTTTTAATTTACGCGTATAACGAGGAAATATGTGCGAATTACTTTATGTGATATAAAAACAAAACGTTCGTTATGTGACATTTATGAAAGCTCTGCCTCTCTCTTAACGAACAAAGAAGAAATGATTATAAAAAAAAAAATCAATATCTTTTACAGTCAGTCATAATTTTCATTTACAACACAGCAGCTTACACGATTACAAGGCGGTTACATGTCGAGTTAGTCCGCAAAGATATTAGATACTGACAACAAACCATTCCTATTAATTAAATATTGGTAAATTTACGACACAATAATTGATGCCAACTTAAAACAAAGAAAACAAAATAGAAAAAAAAATACCAGAAAGTGATAGAAAAAATTATTAAAAAAAAAAAAAAGAAGAAAGAAACGTATACTTGGTAACATTACGCCGTTTCAAATTGGCATGCAATCGTAAAAAATCGCTGAAAATGATTGCATCCCGTATCAACGAGTCAGCATCAATCATTTGTCCTTATAAAATTGACTAAGAACGCAACGTTTGCATTAATTTAATATGGGCCTGTATTAAAATAGTAACTATGAACAACAGAGGGCATAAAATGTGACACTTGTGTAAAACTATATGACGAGAGGCATGTCTTTCTTGTTCGGTAAATTTACCTTTTTAC